GGAGTGGGCTTAAACCATCTCCCTGTCTGATACCCCTTTGAACTGGAAAGCTAGCAGTCAAACCACCTTTTAGTTTAACACAGCCAGTGGCATTCTGATAAATAGATTTAATTATGTTGTGAAATTTTCCTGAGATTTTGTTTTTGTGAAGTTTATATAAAAGACCGAGGTGCCAAATGGAATCAAACGCCTTCTTAAAGTCAATGAAACATGCAAATAAATAGTTTCCTTTATTAAGATATTTTGTTATTAGCTGTTTGAGAACAAAGATATGGTCCGCTGTGCTGAATTTTGGAAGAAAACCAATTTGCTCTTTAATTATGATATTATTGCTTTTTACATGTTTGGTCAACCTTTGTTTCAATACGGCTGTGAAGTAACTCATAGATGGTGTCTGCTTCATCCTGTTCTATTTATTTTCACCAGTATATTCACATAATCAACAACAAAATAATGTAAACTATAACCAAATAAATACTAAAATATAGTAGTAACTGATAATGTTCAGTATTGACCATAGAGCTTCTCTATTTCATAGCCCTTGACTTCTCTAGAAGTGACAATGTAAATGCTGAAAGGAAGCTACCGTATTTATCAGGGTATAAGCCCAGGGTCTTGAACATGGAAAATTGACAAAAAATAGGGGTGGGCATTTACCAGGAAATCCCAGACAAAAAAAAGAAAATTCGCAAAAAAATTAACAACACACAGATCGAACTGCGGCAGGGAATAGAACGGCAAATGAAAACATGCAACAGAAATAAATGAACAATATGCAACATTAGAAGTAAAACAAAATTATTGTATTGCTTATAATGTAACAAATTTAACCAGAAATAATAAAAATCGACAGTGAGGAATCATTTGAATCAGGATTTTCTCGCCGACAAACACGTCCAATACGCGTAAAATGATTTCCGGTCTCGACAAATTACGAATCAACTGTCATACAAGATCAATAATAATTTACAAATTTACACAGTAAAAATTATCAAAATTCATAGCTGTTTGAAAAAACTTCTCAGATCTTTATTTGTATGTTCATTGCCATTTTCGTCAAACTCAAAACCCTCAAAGTCCAAGTCGGCGTCACTGTAGCCGTCGAACAAAATCCCTACAACTTCTTCCTGGAGTACATCCATATCGTCCCACGCAATTTGGACTTAGCACTTTTAATCCACAGATTTGGCACTTTTCATTCATGTCTAATCACAATAAAGAGACAAGAAAAATGGGGTTGTTCTGTGCAATGGCACACGATGCTTTTGTTTACATCTTTGACCTTTATGCATCTGCTTTACTGATTAGCTAAGAACGACATCACTAACAATTATATTTAAAGAATTTTTATAAGCATCACGACAGACTTCAAGAAAGTCAAATATTAATACAAACATAGTCAACGAATAGAAAATAGTTTTTTGTTATTTTTTGTGTAGGAAAAAACCCCTGGGCGTGTGCCTGGATATGACCTCAACTTCTTTGTGTCAAAAGTGGGGGGATGGGCGTTTGCCTCGACATGGGCTCTTACCCGGATAAGTACAGTATGATAACATTTCTGCTGCAGTTGAGTAGAAGCAATGAATGAATAGTACTAATGAATGTATGACTTGCTTTTTAGACATTTATGAATGTTCCAGTAATCCATGCCAGCATGGTGGCATTTGTGACGATCGGATTAATGGTTACATATGCACTTGTGCACCAGGATGGACTGGATTTAACTGCGATATCAGTAAGTTCCTATTTCATCTCTTAAGTGTATGCTGCCATCTAAGGTGAATTAGTAAAAAACAAAAGATTTCATTTTCATCTGTTGATGGTGCTGTCAGTGATGGGTTCACATATGAAGAATTATGAAAAAAAAATGTGCACACATTTTTTAATGAATGAGTTCACTGACAGATATTATTCATTAGCCTGTTGTATACCACATTTTATGCATCCTTCAATGTCATGAAAAGAATCTAAACATTGTGTCTGTTTTATGTAGATATTGATGAGTGTTTCAGCAACCCTTGTATGAATGGTGGTACTTGCAGTGATATGGTGAATGGTTATATATGTGCTTGTCCATTCGGATTCAGTGGAATTACCTGTGAAACTGGTATGACATTTCTTTGCTTATAAAGGTGGGGGGGGGGGGGGTATTTATAAATAACAAAGTGAAAATTGCATGTATGTCCATATAGAATTTTATCTTGACTTTATCATGAATATTTACATGCAGATCCATCCTAACTATAAAGACATTGAAATCATTCTAAGGATTATCCACTGATTAACTATCATGATAGAAATTCTAATATGTGGATAGGTGGCTTCATTTTTTTTGTTCATCATGAGGGGTAGCTTATGTTTCACTACGGTAAAATAGTTTCCACATACTTAATTGAATGAGGTAAAATAGTTTCCACATACTTAATTGAATGAGGTAAAATAGTTTCCACATACTTAATTGAATGAGCTTAACGTACATGTTACTTATTTCCTCCTTGGAATCAGAACTGAACTTCAATGAGTGTGTTAGTATGCCTTGTTTGAACGGTGCTACATGTCGTGATCAGCGAAACTCCTACGTCTGTGATTGTGCACCAAATTGGACAGGAGTCCATTGTCAATTAGGTATTGCATGCACTGTTAGATTATGCATGGCATGCAATATAAAGTGACTATTTTATGTTTATTTTGCATGTTTTGTTTTTTCAATTCTGTGTTCTTTCTCCAAAACTTTGCCAAGGATCTGCCCATGCCAGTCGGTTCCGCTCAGCACTTAGAATTTCTGACCAGAATACAAAGTTACTGACCAGACCTATTCTAATGTTCATATAGACGTATAATGTTGACATGCATTTAGCAGGATCAATGTCTGCAGACTTTATCCTTCAACTTAGCACTGGATCAAAATAAAAATAAACTCACAGTGTTTCTTGCCTTTAGAAGAGTACTTCCTGGATAGCTGCTGTGTCTGTCTATGGAGACAGTGGAGTTCCTATACCTACTGGCCTATCTTTCAGTTCTTCTGAAACAGGAAGTGTTTGAGGGCGCTCGACTTATGAAAGGGGTCTATAGAGCTTGTCATTTTTACACTTAAATTAACTTGGCATGAATATAAACGCAGAACAAGTCTTGAATGTAAATTGTCACGCTGTTGAAAATCAATATTCAGTGACATCAGCCTAATGTATTTTAATTTGAATTTCACTCTGATTGACGTTATATTAGCTTTACTAAACAAGCCGGTCTCTGAAATAAGCCATACATCAAGATAATGACAGGTGACGCAGTGACAAATTGTCACCTCACCATCAGGGATGTGCAAAGTTGTCGTTCATTTGACCTACTCTTGAGTGTAGTAAGCTCCAGATCCTATATTGAGTTGCTGATTCATGGAATAATTATTCTTCACTATAAATGTGATTCACTAATGTTCCATTACAAAAAAACACAGATAAATTCAAATTAATATTTCATTAAATATTTAAAATAAAAGTTAAATTGAAGTGGTTAAAGCGAGAGAGTCGTCACCTGCACATGCATCAGATGGCCATAGCGTGTCATTGTTTACAAACAAGCATCTACCCATGAGCCTTTGCGTTTTTAGCACGTGTTATCGTTGCTTGGGACTCAATTCCTACATGTGAATAGGTGACGACCTTCTTGCTTCAACTACTAGGATGACAATCATGAATATTAATTAGCTCATGAATATTAATTAGCTCATGAATATTAATTAGCTCATGAATATCAAGCCAGGCTGGACAGAACCTTGCATTGCATGTTCTTTATTTAAATTATATTGTTCGCGGCAAACGGATTTTTGAGGAAATATTATTTCATTCTTGTTCTCTAATTTCTTGTGTGTTCCTCTCCACTGCAATCTAAACTAACAAGAATATTTAATTTCTGCAGTATTCATCCAGAGATTTAAGGGCAAAACACTGCCTCACCACTGTGTGATAACTAGGGTGACATCATCCGTCGATCGTCCATGTAATTGTTGCAAAATGAGGTTAAAGTTGTATTATCTGTTATAAATTTATTTGAAGTTTGTGTTGTAAAATGAGCCATGAACTGGAATTATTACTTTGTATTATACATGCATAATTATCTGGTTTTAGAAAAATATCTGTTCTTTACTGGTAAAGATTTTCTTCAGTTTTCTGTGCAGATTTTGTGTTTTAGTCACAGATTGTGCATCAAGAAGGCGCGGGTGAACAATATTCTCGTGTGTTTTACATAAAGTGGAATCTGAATATCATTTTTTACTATTACTAATATTCATCATTTATATTTATTTCTGTTTTAAATTCTCATAATACTTTGTTCTTCTGTCTTTATCTATATTCATATATTCTATGGTTTCAAATTAAGAGAAAATATTATTTCCAATGTTGACCTAAATGGCATGATCATTCTCTTGTTTTTTGTGAAGTTTTTATTGCATATGAGGCCAATGGTCTACTTTACTGTGAAATAAAAAAATAACTTGATTACACTTGCATGGTTTATTTGCAATTGAACAATTTCATTTATTTTGCTTTGCTATGCTCTGACATAATTCACCAATAATTAAATTTCATGTTTTTCACTGAATAGTTACATATGTTTTTCTGGTTATTTCCCCACTTAGAAATAGATTTATGCCAGAATAATCCATGTTTGAATGGTGCCACTTGCATGAATGACTTTGAGAATCAAGACTACCAGTGTCTGTGTGCTGTTGGATTTACAGGAGAAATCTGTCAGTCAGGTATGTGTAGTACTACATTTGTTGTATTTATGTACCTTGAAATTTATCAAACAAATAAATAAACAAACTGAATGATTGATTATTCAACTTTCATTAAACTATCCTAAGTATTATAGTTGTTTGTTGTTAGTAATTTGAAAGTATCATAAACCAATAAAATTCAATGAATTTTGTATAAAACTTGTGCTAATGAAATCGTTTGTATTTTCTTTTACCTATTTATATAGTTCTTTCATTCTTTCATAAAAATGTCAGCATAATATTGTTTGCCATATTGAAGTGACTGAAATGATTTTCCCACAAATGTTTCTCAGCAAGCTATGGCCGGACCAATTCAAAGTCAATGTTGGGATTGCTAGTAGCAAGTATAAGTGCTGGCAGTGCTGCCATTGAATGTGATACTTTGTACTACATGATGATTTTCATCTTTGGTTCATCTTTTCATTCTACCTGTCTCCACATACATTGATTGCTTAGTGTCAAACATGGTATAAAATTTATTGTTACAGTATCGTTATACCTGTATCAACACTGCAGATTGATTTTATTAACATGACCATAATAGAGAATTATTAACTTACTGTAAAATACTTTTTATACTAATTATTTTCACTTGATTCAGTGAAAATATAATCCAGCAAATGTTCGGTACTTTTTTTTCTCTATACGGTATTTCACATTCAACTCATCAAATATCAGTGAAAATAAACCCCATACAATACACTCAAAATCTCAGTTCAGCAAAAATTAATTCCGACTAAAATAAATTATTTTAACAGTAGGAATCCCTCACATTTGGTGATGCCTTTGTAGCAGCTGCCTAATGTAATCAGTATTTACTTGCAGAGATTAATGAATGCGAGAGCAATCCATGTCAGAATGGGGCTACTTGTTTTGATTCAGTTGGACTATATACCTGTTACTGCCCCGCCGGCTGGACTGGAACTAATTGTGATATAGGTGAGAATATGTGGACATCAGCATAATTACAATTTATCTCATCTGTACATACATGTATATGAGTTAAAGTATTTATAATAAACAACTTGTTCCAGTGTTAGGAGTATTACCATTTACTTGCTAGAGATAATTTGAATACCTGATATTTCTCTTCAGCTATTAATGCTTGTCTGTCAGACCCATGTCTAAATGGTGCGACGTGTGGTGACTTCCAAAGTTATTATGTTTGTACTTGTGTTCCTGGATATGCTGGCCTGTTCTGCCAATTTGGTAAGTCATTGTTGTGATCATTTCTTGACAATTATTATCTACCACAGGGATTTTTTTAAACAAGGGAACAGGGGTGCAGCGCCCTCATGCCATGGCCATGCGCCCCTTACCCTGGGGAGCAGATCCTCTGGCAACCATAAAATTCTGATTGACCAGGGATCACAGTGACCTGTCTGATAGTAATTTTGGCCCCAAGGAAGCCATAGAATGCTCCATTTTAACTTAGAATTATCAAAAACTACACACCCTGGTAGGGAGAACCCTATCTCCCCCACTTGATGGCGCAGCTAGCTGAATTGCAGTGCTCCCTCTTGCAGTTTTTTTTCTAGAAAAACCCCTGTACCATCCATAGAGCACAGTTTATAAATCAACTGGTTTTATATTTCACAGAGGTACTTGAGTGTTTAAGTCACCCTTGTAAGAATGGTGCAACCTGCAATGACTATGTGAATTTCTACACATGTGACTGTGGACCTGGCTGGATAGGTACTCTGTGTGACATGCGTAAGTATATAATTCAATGTGTTAATTATTCCTATTGTTCCTGTAATTTTTAGATTGGAAGTCATATACTGTAAAATACTTTAATTTTCGCTTGGAATAAATTTCCGCTGAACAGATGATTCAGTGAAAATAAAATACAGCGAATATACCATTTTTCCTATATATTACATTCAACTCATCAAAAATCAGTGAAAATAAATTCCATACAAAACACCCAAAAACTCTTTTCAGCGAAAATTAATTCCAGCTAAAATAGAGTATTTTAATTCGGTGCTTATTCTGTATTTCTTTGTTGTACGTATTTATGTTTATAATAATTATTAATAAAGCATTTCTATTGGTGTCTTCAGTTTCTAAATTGCTGAGAATACACAAACTTGTACTTGATTTGCCTACACATCTAAATACATGTAATAAAAATAATAATAATCTAGTTTTTTGCACCATTTTATCAATGAAAACCATTTTCTCTTGTTCAATTCTGTTTGCAGCCATTGATCTGTGCCAGCCTGATCCCTGCCAGAATGGAGCCACGTGTACAAACTTTCAGATATCCTACACATGTAACTGTGCACCGGGTTACTCTGGTACTAATTGTAACACAAGTAAGTCATCAATACCTAATCTTCACTTGTTCACATTTCTTTATTCACAAAAAATTGTATTGTGTATTTTATTGAGCCAATTGTTGTCTAAAGGGTAGTAGTCATCGCACCATTTATGCATGAGATATATGGGTCTCATATGAACAAAGATGGGGACTTTGACTGTTGCGCAGATCAGCGAGTACAAATTGAGACGTTTCCATGCTTTAATTAGGTAATTTTCAGGTGATTGGAAGGTATTGAAGAAATCAAGGAGTCACGGCTGTAATCAATGCAAGTCGCACCCAGGTCAAACCTCATACTCGTGATTTCCATTTGAAGAGTGCATTGAGTTGTGGGAAAATCAATGTTTATCAACACAAATGTCGTTCATGCACAGCATGACGACCATCACACTTTAAATTTAGTTGTCCCCTACATACTGAAGTTAAGATAATGAATGTGAAAGCATGTAATAACCTAAAAAACAAGTCAGCATATTCATTGGATCCATATGAATGTTGTACGTGGCTGTTAATTACTGTGAGAGTCAGAATAAATAATGACTGCACTTCACTTATAAATTGTTAAGTCCTTAATTTATATTGGCTGCTATCATAACGGTATTTTCTAATTATTTTTAATTATCAGATATTAACGAGTGTGCCAGTAACCCTTGTCAAAATGGAGCCACTTGTTACGATGCCGTTGATGGTTTCACATGTCAATGTGTTGCTGGTTGGATTGGAGTTCTGTGTCAGACTGGTGAGTAGACTTTTAGATCTTAGAATCTACTAGTGGCTTTTCTGAACATTGACTGTCTGCTGTCAAATAAAATGACCACCCTAGTTCTCAGCTTAAAATAATTCACTTTGGTAATTCACTTTCCATTATTGTTAAAATATAGGAATAATTTGATGTGCATCTGAACAAATGTAGTAGTCTAACTTTCATTCATTCTGGTATTAATTATTCAATACTTTTGTCATTTCAGCCATTAATTTATGTCAGCCTGACAACCCTTGCATGAATAGTGGAACATGCCAGAACTACCAAACTTTTTACACTTGTACTTGTCAACCTGGTTGGACTGGCACTATCTGCCAGACTCCTATTGATCTCTGCATACCAACCAATCCATGTGAGAATGGTGGCACATGCAACAATTACCAGAATTTTTATACGTGCACCTGTATTCCTGGTTGGACAGGAGATCGGTGTCACCTTGCCATTGACCTATGCCAGACTGATCCCTGCCTGAATGGTGGCACATGTTCTAACTTCCAGACTTCCTATACTTGTGAATGTTTACCACAGTATGATGGGGATAGGTGTCAAATAGGTAATACTTTATAATTGGTTTCTCTTTTTCTGAAGATGATTTCAACTATTAGATAGATTTACTGTGCTTGTATTTAAGACCTCAATTCCCAATCTTGATGATTAAATCACCACAAAAATGTGACTTTTTGATTTAAATGTGATCAAATCCAAATATACGTAATTGTAACATTCTAATGTTGACAACATGTTATCCATTTGGCATCGCATACATGTAAGCCTACTTGTGAACAACTTAAATCTCCATAGAACACTTTTTTTGGCTATTAATATACCGTAGAAGTAGAAAAATACCCAATATACTGGAAAATAAGACGCAATATATGTTTTTTTTAGTTTACATAGCTTATGTAGTATTACAAGTAAGTAAATGAAAAATATTCAAATTGCTTTCCAGAAATATTATTCAAAAACTTGTTTTGTCACCTTTGATTGCAGGTTTTCTTATTTATCACTCACTGTTGTCATAGCCTAATTCAATAGTTCAAAATCAGTTAAGCAACTAAACACGCAACAACCTGAGCTGGAATCATTTCAGTAAAAAAGGAAAAAAAGAACACTACTATTTGATCTCACTGTAGAGTCTGCTGTGTTGAGATTTTTCAAGTGATGTTGAATAACTTTTTTAACTAATTTTTTGATATATTTTTGATGAGTGTAAAATTTAAATAACTACCTGGACTGATCAAGTTCCCACTTCACACATGCATCCAACATCATATTGGACAAATGCTTGTGTATTTTTTTTCACCATCAAATCATAAATGGCTTACTGGCAGCCATCATGTTTATATGATTGCTGTTCCACATAGCCATATCTCATACAAGTCAGTTAATATTATGTATATTACCTCTGTCAGTAGTTGTGCAATATCTTTTGCCCGCATGCCTAAAAATTAAAAATACATTTTAAGTGAACAACTAACAAATGTATTCACACAATTAAGCACTTGAGGCCCAGTTTTAATGCGTTAGATAATTAATAGTCATTATGTGTTTTTTTTCAGTTCGCAATGCATGTCAACCCAACCAGTGTCTCAACGGTGCTACCTGTAATGACTTTTTGACTCACTATACATGTACCTGCCAACTGGGTTGGAGTGGAAACAACTGTGAACAAAGTAAATATTATTTTATTTCCTGTCACCTAAGTAAAATTTAGTTATTGCTGTATAAGTGTTATGTAAAATGCATAGAGTAACAGAACTTCTCATTTGCTTTCAGGACTTAATCCTTGCATTTCTAATCCCTGTCAGAACAGTGCACCATGTAATAACTTTTTCACGTCTTATACGTGTACATGTCTAAGTGGCTGGACTGGATTCAATTGTGATCAAGGTAACTGTCAAATAGTTTGCGATTTCACAAACTTCTACAATGCTCAGTTAAAAGTCTTGATGTTCTTAAAAACGTTGATTCCTCATACCTTGATGATTTCTCGGATATTGCAATACATGTTCATGCAAGATCATCATGTTTTATTAAAAACTTAATATTAGAAATTTATTCATTTATATTTTGAAAATATTCATAAATTCTGAAATTTTCTGAATTGAAATGGTAGAAAAATATCTGCATAACTTATTGTACATAGATGTTGTATTTGTGTATTTCTGTTTCAGCAATCAATATGTGTTCTCCTGACAACCCATGTCTGAATGGAGCTGCTTGTCAAAATCACCAGATTTCTTATACTTGTATTTGTGCTCCTGGTTGGACAGGAACAAACTGTGAAACAGGCAAGTCTTAATATTTCATTATGTCATTAATTCTATAAAAAAAGCACTCGGTACTTAGTTGTGACTGTAAGACTTACAGGTAATATTGAACAACACATTACTATTTTTTTTTTCATAATGTAGAAATCAATTTGTGCCAACCCAACCCTTGTCAGAATAGTGCTGTGTGTACCAATATGCGGACATCATACCTATGCCAGTGTGCAGCTGGCTACACAGGTGTTCACTGTGAACTACGTAAGTAAAACTAGTTTAAGATCAGTGGCTTTTCTAACAAATACTTGCTGCTAGTTTTGTTTTCGCCACAAACAAAATTCTTACGTTTTATATTTGCAATCTGTTATATGACCATGTGTTTTTATTCTTTTATTCAGCTATTAACTTGTGTACAAGCAGTCCATGTCAGAATAGTGGCACTTGTCTCAATTTTCAGACCTACTACACATGTAACTGTCAAACTGGATTTACCGGTGTAAACTGTGAGAGTGGTAAGTGAAGAATGAAATTCACATATTACTTAGCTATCGCACCAATCTATATCTTATTGAAATGTATTTAGATTCGCGCCAGAGCTAACAGTAACTTACTGTAGAATACTTTATTTTCGCTTGGAATTAATTTTCGCTGAAGGGATGATTCAGTGAAAATAAAATCCAACGAATATATATATTTACGCACAAAATGTCTTTTCAGTGAAAATAAATTCCTAACATCATGCTATTTGATTTAACAGAGCTGAATCCGTGTTTATCTGATCCATGTCTGAACAGTGCCACTTGTGATAATTATTATTTATATTACATATGTCGATGTCCACCAGCATACACTGGATCAAACTGTCAAACAGGTATAATGTACAGATACATAATATACAGATACATAAATAAAAACATTTACTTTAATTTGCTACATTTTATTAATAACTTTTATACTCTTTTAATTAAATTTTTTTTTTCATTGCTATTATACCTTTATTGTATTTTTAGTCCCCGTTCGGATGAAGTCATATTTCAGAATCCTTTGGACCAATTCCATTCATTCTTTGCATGTGCCTAGTACTTTCTGTGGGTCATATGCACATGCAGTGGTTTATCGATTTGATTCAAAATGGCCGACTGGCAGCCATGTTGTTTTTTGAAAATGCCGTATTTTGGACATGGTTTGTCAGTTTTCATTCAAATTTGGTACATAGATTATACATGTTAGGATACATGTCCTCTGACTGTCTGTGCATCCATCCGTCCGTCTGTGCTTCCATCCGAACGTGCGTCTGTCTGTCTGTCCGGAGTCTTATTTCAGAATCCTTTGTATCGATTCTGTTCATTCTTTGCATGTGCCTTGTACCTTATGTGGGACATATGCACATGCAGTGGTTTAGCGATTCGATTCAAAATGGCTGACTGGCAGCCATCTTGTTTTTTGAAAATGTTGTATTTTGGACATGCTTTGTCAATTTTCATTCAAACTTGGTACATAGATTATACATGTTAGGATACATGTCTATAAAAAAAATTTTCAAAATCGGATCAATGATGCCGATTGACAGCCATCCAACTTTTTGGCCTTACTACTATATTTCCAAGATTTATGTACCATTTTCATTCGTATTTAGCACATACATCATACATGTCACTTTCTTTCATAATCAGATCAAAGATGGCCGAATAACGGCTGTTTTTATTTTTGGATATATTACTATATCTCTGTCACCCATGTATCATGTACCCATGTACCACCGACTGGTGGCCATCTTGTTTGTTTAAAATGTGATAACTTGGACATGCTTTCACTTGAGATCCATGTTTTTCTTTGCTACGTCTTAAACACGTGTTTGAATTTGATGTAAATAAACAATCTGTTTGTATATGCCACTTTGGACTCAAGTTTCAAGGAACCGCTCGTGACAACCCCTTCACTTTAATATGACAAGCACAAAGAGAACTTTCAAAAATTTAACAGGGACTGTATCATTTTCAATGACTTAATGTATATTTCCATAGAGGATACGATAACAATAAAGATTATTATTATACATCTGTCACCGTAATGCCATAAGTTAAAGCGTGCCATAATTTTGATTCTTCCATATAAGGAAATGCGAATTCCAAATATGGAATGATTATGCACGTAAGCGTTCTCTAATAATAAAAACAAACATGGATGCCACCAGGGTTTGACCGGATTCCACACAAAGAAGTTCGCTTAATCTGTTCTAAACATTTTGGAAAGCAAAGATGTATAATAAA